GTCCGAGCTCATAAACAAGATTTACTCGGTTAATCGTTCAACACGGTTTGCCCATTAGGTATTCCAATCCAAAGCCGTAGAGTTTAGGGACTCGATCTCCTCCCTCCTCGGCTACAAACTCCACTTTGAACCTAAGCATGTTCGACTGACGAGCGTCTATGACCGAGATATCGATTTGAAATTCGCATCGGGTGGTGGAAATCAGGCTAGCATGGGTGTAAGTCTAGCTCCCTACCCATTTTCTTTCCCCCCGCCACATCTCTATTCCTTCTCTTCGAACGTTCTTCTCACCGCTTTGCTTCTCCCAGCCGATCCGGATCGGCGGCGGCCAGAACAAAGAAGATATTGAGGCGCAAGTACTGGAGCTCAAGACACTCTGGGTGGACCAGAAGCAGAACGTGCCGTGCTTCTTGGCGAACTTGACGTTGTATGCTTACGAACGTGCGGAGATGGGGTTGAGTGATTGGGCGGGGTTGGATGGGTGATACGAATTGATGATGGGAGAAAGGGATGAGCTGATTGGGCCAGGGTTAGTATCCTGCTTTTTTGTAGCTTTTATTGAGTAATAAGTACCACTAGCTCATTGACGAGCAACGTGCCAAGGCGTAGTTAAGTATTTTCCCCCTCATCGTGCAGGTGCGCCTCCGAGTATTCCCGGGGGCTAAGACGGGTTTTCAAGTACATTACTACCTATTACTTCGGTTATTATATAAATTTGTCTCCCCGACGCACGAGCTCTCGTAACCGAGCTCACCCCATAAATATACCAGTCTAAAACCGCTAGGTGCAACCCACTCTCCTGAAAGAGTGCACTTCATCAATAAGGACACTCCCAGGGTGGAAAATACATACGTCTTTCTGAAAGCATCCAAGTGAAATGTGAGACCAAATATCTTCCGCCCTCCTACCCCGCGCTAATATTAGCGCCCACACGCCCAAACACACCGGACTGTCCGCGGGAATTCGGAGTAACTTCGCCAACCTAACAATGCATAGTGAACCCGTGTTTACGCCATGATTGTAGCGCTATACATTAGGATGAGCACACAACGGCACAGGAGCCAAGTGAGGGACCACCTTCAAAAAGGTGAAATTTGGGATCCAGCGAAACCGGAGATGGCTGGCGCTCCGCGTAGTGGGCCACTTCCGGCCCCGGTTGCCGTAAATTAACCCGGCTGGAAGGGGTGGGGTTGCGTATGGTACATGCATGGTAAATTTGAACCTGAATGTTTGTTACTGTTAATTCTGGACATTCTATGCCCGCTCTGCTCTTATGAATGTTATGTATTACATGTGAGCCTTTGCACGCTATTAGCACTTGACTATTTTGTTCATTTGTTAGATATCCAGCCCGAGTCCAAGTTTCATGAGCACTATTCACAGAAATGTTAGGCGCCAGGAGTCCTCAGGGAAGTTTCCCCAACACTGCCAGAACGATTCTTGCCAGTAACTGAGACAAGCTGCGTTTGCGTTGCCCACACGGACCATAACTTTCAGCTTCAATGCAACAAAATACATATTTATAATATTTTCAATTTATAATAATAATACAATGCACCTAGCCTAAACGTTGCAAACAGCGTCATATCGTATGCTAGAGTCGAGCATCACCGGCGCCGAGCTGGGCGTGCTCTCCATGAGAGTGAATTGCGGAGGACCAGAGGTCGGGGAGACGACGACAATGCTATCGTTTCCGGGCTTGTACATCGGCCACCCCACCTTGCTCAGTCCCATCTTCGGGTCGCTTGCAAACGCAACCATATACGACTGGATGAGTTTGGCCGTTTCCGATTCTTCAGTTGTCGCGTTGCGCCCGCCAAACAGAGGTGCGGCACCGCCGAAAAGCATCGGCAGCTCGGCACCGTGGTATGTTCCGAGGAAGGGATACGGTGAGATGTTCGTAAAATTGCCGGCATACCTGACGCGATACGTCGGCACGTCGACCTGGGCACGAAGGCTGGTTACGAGGTGAATCAGCCGGACGTGAGCATAATAGAATGAATCTCTCTTACTTGGCATTCTTGGCAGTCGTGCAGATAAATTTATTGATCAATAATTCGTTTGCGAGTGTCTCGTTGATGCCCTTTGGATCGAACGGCACCAGCCCCGTAGCCTCGTTCTCAAGCGACGAGATGAGCGTCGGCACCTTTGTCATATTGCCGCTCAGCATCCGCTCGGTGTAGTTGGAGAAGATGAGCTGCTCGTCTGGCACCGGAGCAAAGTTCCATCCTCGTGCAGTTCCGTTGGTCACGATCTCGTTCATCAAGGTAGCCACGGGGACGGAGCGCATGCACTCAAGGAGAGCCCTCGAACTGGGGGTAGCGCAGCCGACCGCGGCACCAAGCTGGCCAAAGTGGACCTGTCGCTTGTCGGTCGAGAAGATATCGAGGAATACGCCGCCGCTGAGGATAGCTACAGCACTCGCAATGGGAGCTGAATCGTGGAGGACAGCCCCTGGGGTAGAGTTCCACATAGCGAACTGGTGGGCATCTGCCGAGATACCACCTGCGCTCTGGCCAAACAATGTAATACGTAAAGGGTCTCCGCCAAACCTTTCTGCGTTGTTGCGTGCCCACTCAAGAGCGAGCCGTTGGTCGAGCAGCCCGGCGTTGCGAGCGCTTCCAAAATTGGGGAACCCAAAGACAGACAGGCGGTAATTCATCGTAATAGCAATAACCTAGGGATAACGTTCATGAGATGATAGTAAGCTCCTTGCTAGGTTGACCTACATCGTTGTTGGCGACAAGATTGGTTGCATCAGTGGCCCCAACTGCCGACCCTCCTTGTGTGAAATAGCCTGCACAAATTGCATCAGCGGTGTTGGCAGTTATCGAACATGTCTACTCACCGCCAGGGATAAATACCATAATGGGCAACTTCTCGCCCTTTGCCTGAATCCTTTCCTTGATCGGAGCCCACACGTTTAGGGTGAAAAGACTGCAGGAAGTTAGTAGCATGTTGTAGGGTATATATGAGATTTTTACGTTTTCGCGGTGAACCGCAGAAGGAGAGCGCGCCGAAGAGTTGGATTAGACACGGCCGGAGAGGAACGTATTTGCGCACGGTCACGTGATAGGACAAGTTTGCATAACACATTTTCGAGGCCCAAAACTACCTGTGATCTTGTGGTAGCAAGGTGTACTGCAGAATGTACGGCGCTGGATCATCATCAGGCAGAAAGGGTTACCGAGACTGATTTTGGCGAGAAATGGATGATTACCTTCTGAACACGCTCTGGTTCCGACCGAGCCATTTTGACCAGCAGCAGGGCACATGTTGGGCGAGGTTCCGCCAAGGAATTTATATATCTGGCGCTTCTCGTTGATCAGGCACGTTTCTCAGGCATCTAGGCACTCGAATCCAAACATCCACACACACATGAGCGCCTAAGCACGATAAACAATCCCCACCCTCCAGACAAACGTCAGAATCCACATCTAAATATATTCTCACAACTTGATGAAACAGAGCTGGTATTGATGGCTACAGCGCAGAAAACAATAGATATCGAGGTGCCCATGGAAATGAAAGCAAGCGCCCATGCAAGACCGTATAAAATATCGTAACGTCGTGATCGTTTCCCGCCTCAGACGTGCGACTGGCCATACGACTGGTGCGGCGCAGTAAACTCGTAGTTCTCCTTGCCGTCGTGGTGGGCCGTGAGGTTATCGGTACTCTGTCCGAGCGGGTGGTGCGGGTAATACGCAGCGCCTGCCGAAGGCGTCGAAAAGGCCGCAGTAGTGCCCTTTTGCGTATGACGGAACGACTGCTCGCTACTCAGTTGTTCGACATAGCGCGAGACGATGAGTGCGCAATAGCCGTGGACGAGCAGCGTGACGGCAAAGACGGCGATGTACCCAATCTTCCACGCCTTGGTCGCAACCTGGCAGGTCCTGGAGATTTCGTCGTCGGTGAGGCTGGTGCCGGACGCTTTGACTGCGTCGATGCATTTTTTGATGTTTTCGTCGTTTTGGCGGTAGAGGGTGTAGATGAAGAATGCACCGGCTGCGAGTTGGAAGCCGACCATGTACCAGAGGGCTAGCGCGTACGTCGAGACGAGTCCGCGCTTGCGGGTGATGGCGCCGATGAAGCTAGCGAGGTGTAAGATTCGTGGGGAAGAGAAGGATAGGGTAAGCGCTCACCCGAGGATGGAGAGGCAGAAGAGGCCGGTGTATATGGATCCCGCGACGACGAACGCGACTTCTTGCGGCTTATCGAGCGACGCATGGTTGCCAGCCTTGGACACTGCACACCGATAAGCTTCCGACAAACCAGCAGACGAGAAACGAAGCACGTACTGTAGACCGCATACCAGATCACCGCCGCATATGCGCCCGATCCAATAATGGAGCCAAGCGAGAGGACAAAGACACCGAGTCGGACGGGCAGGCAGCAGCAGAAATGGCGGGTAGGCGACATGACTGGATCAAGTGAGGTTCGACGGGAGATGGGGGACCAGGTCTGGGCGGTGGGGAGTTATATCCGTCCTCGCGGTCGTCAGCGCGTGCATCGCCAAATCGGGCTGTGCTGAAATTAGCAACACCAAATCAAGCTGATTGAGTTCCGCACTGCCACTGCGAGGCTTCTCGCCGCCAGGAGCGATTCATTCCTGTGCCTTGCGTTGAGGGTTCGACAGAGATAAACCAGGGAATGTACATCCCGTCAGGACAAGATTCCGGCTGTGTTACCTTGATAGGAGTCCTGTGTCCGAGGGAATTGCGGTATTCGCCTCGACGGGGAGGGGAGACCGGGAGAGAAGCCCTGCGCATTGGAATCGCGTGGTCGGTCAACGGTGCTAGCGGGGAGAACCACACCCCACGGCCATCATTGCGGCGGTTCCGGGACATTTTTCGCCGGCATGCCGTGATAATAGTTCGAGGGTGTGGGGCTCTGGAAGCGTCCGAGGCGGTTGAGAACCATTGCTATACTCGAAGCCGAGGTTTTCGATGGGCCTGCGGAATGTGGCGGGAATGACAACGATGCCAAGAGGGTACAACCAAGCCTTTATAGCTCAGTGGTAGAGCGCATCACTCGTATTTGGCTTACGAAATGATGAGGTCCATTGTTCGATCCAGTGTGGAGGCAACTTTTTGCCATTTACATACTATTTACCCTGTTCCCAACTTGTCGAGGCTGGGCAATATTCAATGCCAAGCGATCAAGGGCGTATTTTTAGTCCAGCCACGTTCCATAAACCGAAATCATGCAATCGCAGACGCGCAGCCAAACCGACCAGTTATCGGCCAGCAACTCCGTTCACCGACTGGGCCGACGCTACCTCGTGTCAACAATTCAGAATCCATTGTCCAAAAAGCACCCGCAGGGTTACAGAACAGATGAATCACCATCAACCGCGTTAACAGCAGCACAGCTCGCACAATACAAACCCAAAATTCACGCCTTGTTCGCACCTTTGAAACATCACCGCCTCGCCGTCCACGACACGCCCAAGCACCGCACCTCATTCGCCGCTCGCCGTTCGCCGTGCGCCGCACGCCACACGCTCAGCGCAGCACACCACCTAGGCAAAGCCGCCCAACGTCACGGCGATCATCGTCAACCACCAAGCCCTAAACAAGCTGCCGAATCCCTCTTCGTCAATCATCCTCCTCGCGCAGTCGGCCAGGCCAAGATACGGATCCTCCTCGCTCCTCAGCGCAATCACGTCCTCTTCCTCGCCGATATAGTCTGCAGCGGGGTCTGCCGCCCCATCGATCGCGCAGTCGGCGTCGGTGAGCGGGTGGTTGCGTTGTACGCTCAGTCGCGTGGCGAGGACTTCGAGCGGGCAGAGCACGGCGGTGGACGAGGCGGAGAAGAGTGTGAAGATGGTGAAGTTGATCATGTTGAGTCGTTTGGTCATGTGGTTTTGGTCGTCTGCGTCGTGTGCGCTGCCGAGGCCGTTGGCGAGCTGTAGAGGGCAGGTCAGTCGGTGATGCGCAGCGATTGAGCGGATAGACTTACGGATGGGAGGAGCATAGCACGGACGACGCGTGCGACAGCGACAACCCAAATGAGGATCAACATACTAATATTACGTACGTCAGATCAATGACGCAGTGCCACCCAAAATCAACCTACCGCGCCGCCAAAAGACCTGGCGTCAGATACAAAACCCACGGCTTGCGACGCTCAAACGGTGTTAAAATAATCCTCAACGCCTCCATAGGTCGGAACCACGGTAGCCGATGCGGCGTGCACACAGCCCTAGATACCCGAACCGGAGTGAGTGTTCCCGTTTACTGGTCGAGTTGAATCGTACTGACCTGTTGAATAGAATCTCGTACGGGATGCCAACGACCAGTGCGCCCATGCCGTATAATAGACCTCGGAACACGCCGGTGGCGGGTATGTGCATCTGCGAACGCGGTTGGTATTTCGCGTGTCCTGGGATGGTGAGGACCGCCCAGAGAGTGAGAAGCATCGTCGAGACGAACGCGGGCACTGGTGTTCCATTCTGCGCTCAGTTCTGCATCACTTTGAGCGGGAGATAACAGGGACTTACTAAATCCCTTGTACATCCCCGGCCAACCCTCCAAACGGTAGATCCTCCGCAGCATGTTCACAACCCCGTTCACCGCAGGACCGACACGCGCCTCGGGCGCAACGTGGCTGCTCCCGTTTATATCTTCTTCTTGGTTCAACTGGAGTCCTTTGGGTGTATAGTTTGCGCGGAGTCTGCCCGAGGAGATAGTCGTTAGGGTCAATGGCGGGTCGTCAAGTAAACGAGATAAGGTGCTCACCGAACGATGGCGCCAGCAAGTGGAACCGAGATGGCAAGGCCAAGTCCAATGGGACCGACCATAGCCAACACAAACACTACGACGCCGAGTAGACTCGTCATCTTGGTGGCTATCGACTACCTAGCCGTAATGAAGCGCGGGGGCGATGTGAGATACGAGGGGGATGACGACGCCAATCGATGTTGTTTTTATACTGGTACACGCTGCCTCAGGGATAACTCGAGGGGGAGATGATTGTGGTTGATAGTGTCTGGGTTGAGGTAGTTGTGGTCAGATTTGGGAGTTGTGGTAGCGCCGGAGCTGCGGCACAGTGATTAGATAATATTATGTGCCTGTCGTTGGATCTGTACAGGACCCTCGTGCGGATGTAGCCCCAGACGAGGGCGAAACGCCTGCGCGCGGCATAGTGCAAAGAGTAACACCAGAGAGTGAAGTATCGCTCGACCTACGTAGGCCTTTGGCCCGTCAAGTCTGTTGGGGGATGGGTGGGTGGCCCGGCAATCATTTATCCAATTTCGGACACCCAAGGCTGTGTATATATGCCTGGCGCTGTTCGCGTGTATCCAGTGCAGCCCTCCCTCCCAACTACCACACTGCTCGCGCTCTCCCTCAGCGAGCACCAATTGTAACCATGGCATCGGATAGCGACAGCAATAGAGGTCTATCAATCCTTGTAGGAGGTGAGTAGTATTCGCATTCTTGCGCGTGTGCATCTTACCTGGCGCTAATATACGCTTGAATTGTTCAGACACGGGCGGCGCGAATGGCCTATCTACTGTGACCGTACTCGACCAAGTGATGAAGAGGGTACAGTTCGAGGAGGGACTGCCAGAACCGCCGTTAGTTGAGGAGTATTTTGACATCGCCGCAGGCGCTGGCACCGGCGCGTAAGTGCCAGCGGCCCTCATTGACGCTTGGCCGCTAACCATTGGGTAGGATCATGATGATTCTTGTCGGAAGACTTGGGATGACGACCGAACAGGCGATGGAGACCTTTGCGAGGCTGTCAACAGAGGTGTTCTCTGATGGAAAAACATTTGGAACGCCGGCGTTCAAGGCTTCAAAGCTGGAAAAAACGCTGAAAGATATAGTGCGAGAGAGGACAGGAAACGAGGACGAGCCGATGCTAGATCAGCGTGTGAGCTCTCGGAAGTGCAACACGTAAGTTGTGCAAGTCCCTTTATATATTACCTAGGCTGATGTCGAATGTTGTCTCCTTCTGAAGTATGGTATTTGCGATGTCGAAACATAACATGAACTCCGGCATTCCCACCATCTTCCGCTCATATCCCACCGCCGTCAACCCAGGGCCAAGCTGCAAAATCTGGGAAGCGCTCCGCGCTACCACCGCCCACCCAGAGATGTTTAAGAGCATGGAAATCGTAGAACACGGAATCCCCCAGCCCTTTGTGGACGCCGCAATGGGATGCGGGAACCCGATTGAGCACGTACTCGCGGAAGCAAAGAGGATCTATCCGAACCGGCGTGTTTCATGCATCATCAGCATTGGTGGTGGACATCCTAGCACGATTCGAATCCCCGAGCCAAGTCTATTCCGGCGTATCCTTCCTACAAACGTGATTGCCGCAATGAGGGACATCGCGACCGACAATGAACGAATGGCGCAAACGATGGCCGCGCGGTTCCGAGGGTTTCCAGACGTGTACTTCCGACTGAATGTGGATCAAGGCATGCAAAGTGTTCGGTTAGGTGACTGGGATAGACTAGGGGAGGTGAAGGCACACACACGAGCCTATCTGGAAAAGGCGGAGACAAGCCAGTTGATGAAGGGAGCGGTGAAAGCTGTGCGAGAGAAGAAAGGAGTCATACAAATAGAACAGATTGGTACGTTCCGCTTTGTCGTTTCAATGATACTTATTTGTATAACTATCTGGTCACTTCCTAGACGGAGAGATACAAGCAGCGTCGGGACAGCAGCTTTCTGGAGTCAAACAATGCCCCGCTCCCACTTCTGTGTATACCGAGCGACACAAGCCGGTCCAGCAAGCGATAAACTGCCTCACAGCCAATGTGCAAGAGCGTCGTATATTCGTCTTTCATGGACTCGGTGGCGCTGGGAAGACCCAACTGGCGTTGCAGACTGTCGAGCGGACTCGAGAACATTGGTCGGATGTAATCTATGCCGACGCCACTTCCGCCGAGAGCTTGGCGACTACGCTAGGGGAATTTGCGATAGCAAGGAAGATAGGCGAGACACACGAAGATGCGTTACGGTGGCTTGGCTCATACACAAAGCCGTGGCTGCTCGTGTTTGACAATGCAGACGACAGCACGCTTGATCTACGGAGGTATCTCCCAAGCGGGACACACGGCAGAGTGCTCATAACTACGCGCATTCGAGATGTTGCATTCCTGGCAAAGGGACCAAACTCGGACTACAACGTGTCGAGCATGGAGCCTGAGGAATCATTGCAGCTATTACTCACGGTGGCGAAATCAGACCTTGTCACGCTAACATTCGAGAACAAGGAGGCTGCAACTGCCCTAGTTGAGGTATGTCGTGCGAAAGATGACAGAGTTGGTATATATTGACGTTTTCCTTACCGTAACACAGGATCTGGGCCACCTGGCGCTTGCCATCGTGCAGGCAGGCGCATACATCTGGCACACGTCTTGCAGCTTTGACCAATATCGGGGGATGTATAAGGAACGACCACAGCAGATACTCGAAAAGTACAGCGACATCCCACTCAAGGTCAGCGACTATGAGAAGACGGTCTATATTACCTGGGTGATGAGCTACAATCTCCTGAGCGAGCGTGCCCGGAAGATGCTGTGGCTGATGGCATACCTGCAACGGGACAGGATTACACAGGAGATCTTTCGGCGTGCTGCGGCTGGAACTAAAAGCTTTGAACCTACACTTCCACTAAACGACATAGACCACCGGGGGTTGGATGACACTAAATCGTACTTGAGTGGCTTCCTCGATTCTGATGGAAACTGGGACTTGGGTGCATTCTTGACTACGATGACTGAAATTACATCCCGCTCGCTTATGTCCTTTGACCACGTTAACGGGGTTTACGAATTGCATACACTTGTGCAAGGCTGGGTCCACACTGTCATACCTTACTCGCCGGAGGTGGCGCGAATCCAGTCAACATTTTTGCTCGCATTATCGATCGACGAGGGAAAACATGCACAAGATTATCTGTTTCGTCGATCGCTAGAACTGCACGTCAACTCGGTCCTGGAACACCATGGAAACGTTAACTTGGACAGCACAAGGCACCTAAGCCTTGTTCTACAGGATGCTGGGCGGTTTGAGAAAGCGAAGGCGCTCAGGTTGCAAGTAGTTGAGGGTATGAAGAGGGTTCTTGG